TGTGTGAACAATTATTGAATCATATTTTTTGATCGAGTTGATACATATTTTTTATTTTAGGTAGAAACTACTACATCTACCAGTAAAGGTGCCGATCGAGTGGTAGCGATCGCATTCACTCTCAACGTGTGTGATGCTGCATTCAAGGTAACTACAGTCTACTGTTAAGAATTATTTTCTAAGTTGAATATTAGTTGGGTGTTGTGGCATGTTGGGAATTGAGGGCACAGCAGTTCAACAATCCTCTTCCTCACATTTTCATCAGCATAGTGACTGCTGGCCATGAGTCTCTTGGCTTCAATCCGAGGTGGTACTGTAACTTATTGGTTTAAGATTTCAGCATAGCTCTTCTATAGTAGCTGTGTTGTTTGCAAGTGAAAATTTTTATTGTGAATATGAAATAAAATATATTTCACCCCTACGATTAACCGTATTTCGCATAATCAGAAATGAATTGTGCGGTCTAAACACACTATGTTTCAGTATACTGCTGCATATCTGACTGGCTCAAAGTCATTGTTTGCTGAGGCCATTCACAGCACAATGGACACTTGTAATCAGTTGATTTTGCTGATGGGAATACGATATTCTGCGAGAAATCCCGATAATCTGTTCCCGTATGGATACGGTAAGAGCCTTTCAGCTTATTGCATTTGCTTTTGAAAGCACTCTGAATTCCGAGTCTTTATTTTCGGCTCGATTTTTTGGGTTGGTTGACCTTTACTTGACCGATTTTGTCTAACTCTGCTTCATTACTTCCTTTACTCACGTCAAACGCTTATAAAGCCACGGCGCTGTGGTTTCTCCAAAGTTTCTTTAGATCCACAAGTTGTTCTCTTTATGGGCATCTTATTGCAGGCAATATGCGGTATGTGACGTCATTGATTTCTGGTTGTGGTATTATGGCGTTTGGATGCGGTCTTTCAATATACCATGGAGTTTCGGGGTTACTGCACCCTGCCGAATTGGAGCCACTCAACTATGTGAGTTCCTTGAAAGTAGTTTTTGCCAAGTGATTCATAATTCAGTAGTTTTCTATCTAGATTTGGTAAACGTCTTTCAAATTACTTATTCGATTGAGGTCTTTGGCTGTTGGTATCATTTTTTCATAGCAGAGATGATCTTTTATACAGGCTTACTATGCGTTATTTATGTCGTTTTGCTTCAGGAAACATCAGGGCTTCGTGTTATGTGCGTCAATCGAAAAGCAAGGTGCTGGACTTCACTCTGAATTATCGGTTTGGTCCTTTGCTTGATTCGCTATTTCGACATTCCTACGGTTTGAGTTTTTTTTTTCTCTGAGATTTCTTTCAAGCTGTTGAGTATAAATGGGCGCACATTTGTTTTGATTGATTGTGTAGGCACTGCTGAGGCTATTATAGCCCTGCTGATTATGTATGCCAGGGTCAATTCGCTATTTGCACAGTCTAACACTGGGTCGTATTTTGTTGAGTGTGTTAGGTGGGGGTCGTATTCGAAGTGATGTTTAGAATTCTGGGTAGATTAAAGAAAATTTTGAAATTCATTGGTTCCTTGCTATACTTCCCCCCCCGTTCGACGGCTGTTTTGTAGGGAAAGTGGGGAGTTGATTGTCGACTGAATAACAATAATGCATGATGACGTAGGGCGTGAATGGGGGGGGTCGGAAAATTTCCGAAAAGTCGCAACGTGTGGCTGACCTGTGTGGGTATGCGGTCGCTTTTTTTGGATTTGGGCGCTGTTTGTGATGGCCACCAGAGCAAGAACTGCAAGAGTACACAATCTGTTTCAAAGCTCACTGTATCGTTTTGTTTCCCGTAGCCTTTTCTTCGTTAACATAGAAGCATAGCCTCAGGCTAGCAGTGATCATTGCCTTCTCTCTCTCCCAGTTTCCTTTTAAAGCAAAGTATTCACCCCGGAGAATTATACTGGCGAAAAATGTTCAATCTATCTATGTGAAGGATGTTGTCCCCGATGGAGTGGAGTAGAAGAGCATCTACAAAAGGAGTGTATTGTATAAGAGTTTTGTTCTTGACTTGCCTGAGTTGGTGTTGATGGAGGAATATGAAACTTCTTGAAAATTTTGTCCACCCCTTTAAAATATATGTTGTTTTAAATCTATTGCAGGTCATTTGTTAGGCACTGCTTTATTTAGTTGTATTCGGCCATCTTCCTAGGTCGTTTTATCGAGATACCGCTGCAGTATCGGGAGTACGTGATTTTCTTACTATTGTCTTCAAGAACTCGCTAATAATCGGTGATATCACAGGTTATTGTCATAGTTTGTCATTTTGTAACATATTCTAAATCGGTAGAGCCTACGAATTGCTTTTAGGTGGCCATAGCTCTGTGCGCTGTTTCGCTTTCATCGATTCTGGCGTCACCTATTCCTGACTCGGTTGGATCCATCATGATAGGATGTTTATTAGGTGAGTAGGTTTTGTTGCCAGTTAAACAGCTAGAGATCCTTAGCGGCCGATGTCAGACTTTGCGATTGGAGCGATTTTGCATCAATTGCGGAGGCGGATCGCCTTAAGCGATGCGAGCGAGGGAGAATACCGAGCGGTGCCATGTGTATGTATCCGCGGGTAATCTTGCCGTCGCTCGCATCGCTCAAGCGATCCGTCGCTCCTGGATTGGTGCAAAATTGCTCCAATCGCAAAGTCTGACATCGGCCAGTTGCTGAAGTGCTTATTCTTTTTTTTTCAATTTGTCGAATGCTTGTAATGGACGATTTGAATATCTCACCATCTGTTTTCTGAGTAATTGTTTTGAGCTCCTTGAAGTTGTAGAAAACGGTTCTGCACGCTCTTTCTGTTAAACAGATTCACTATAAGTTCGCATAAGCCAGTATGCTTCAACTATATCCCTTAGAGAATCGCGGTAGCTTAACTCGGCAATAAACCTATCACGTTCCATGTTGGTGTGGCCGAAAAAAGCACAGGTAGATCAAAAAACGAGGCTAACGTTTGGATTTTGGTGTAAAAAAAATTGAAGGAAGGGTGGACTGAGGGGCAAGTTTAATTTTTCATTGTGGATGCACGTCATTTGCTCTTGGTTGTTTGGTTGCTTCTTAACCAGAGGCTGTTTTAGATAGACCCCTCCCTCTCCCCCTTCCCCTTATAACCCATCTACTATCTACCGTGTTCCACATCTTACATCGCACGAACGAGTACATCGCCATTTCACTCTTCTCCTATATTCCAGGACAAAGGCAGCTGGCATCTCGTTTTTCTTTTGTCTGCGTAATAATCTGTCTTATTCGTACAAATTCCTTGCCAGGAAAGGGATAAATAGGTTATCCCACGCTTAGTTCTGAGTATTGAGGTGCTTGCCTGCGTCATGAATCATACCTAGAATCCCTCAGCCAAGAGCGGTGCTAACGCACTTGTACTTCTTACATATGTGGGCTTAATCGATGACATCCAGGTACCGTGGCTTCGTTTATAATTCGAACAAACGCCGCTCATCTGGTTGGGCGAAGTTTGCCGAAGCGAATCACTGATGATATCGTGTGTCGCTTGAACAATGACCCAGTCATTCGGTGAGTTGAATAAGAAGTTCACACCACAATAATCTTTATCAATTTCCATTCAAATTCATAGTAACATCTAGCAACGAAATACCCGTAGTGAAAGTGGAGCATGACAAATTGTGCGAATGACTACAATGAAAATGGCCAAGGAGGGAATTTTAGGGAATAAAATAAAGGTTGGCTTCAGAGCACGGAGGTGGGTGGAGCAGGAATCTTTAGTATGAAGTAAAACTGTTCCAATGAGAACTGAATGGTGTGTTTGCTGAAGAAAGAAATGGAAAGTTATTGAGCATTGGTGTATGACCTTGAATTTTGATGTTCTATAGGGTCCTAGTTAGCTATGAGTATTAAAAGGCCCACTTGGTACTTATTCGTTCGTGTCTCTTGAACTGTTAGCGGTCGTTCTGAGGGAAATCGAACGACGTTTACCAAGCCCTAAGGTTGGTTCTTGAGACCATGAGTAACCAGGCCTGGTTCGCAGGTCTCAGTAATGGTGGAACTACGGTAACCACCAATATTATGGCCCACTACACGGTTTTCGATCACTGGGTAGTAAATTTAAAATTCGTGTCAAAAAGAAGAGTATGGAAGATCAAGTGCTGTGTAAGGCCATTTCGATACATTCTGGCAATGTGCCAAGATGAACAGTTCAAACTGTCTGAGGACAAATACTATATGTGAAGGATGTCGAGGAATGGTCCTGTGAGGATTTCAGGTCGGTGCATGACGTGAAGGCGACGGCGCTCGGCGTCGAACAGTCCCGATTCAAAGCCGAATTGGATTTCGACGGTCGGGAAATCACTCGCGCCTATCTGCATCAGAACGTTCACTTGCCGACGCTCCTGAAAGTAGGTGTTACTCGTTGATTATCAATCAATACCTTATCTATTTTTAAATTTCAAAAACGTTGACAGTGCTTGATTAACGACAGTAATTGTAGTGACTTGGAGGCGGAGGCAATTAGGAGACGTCATTGGTGGAAGCGTTTTGGGGGTGGGGCGGTCTGATCACACCCTTCAGAGCATAAGCAGACTACTACCCAGTGCCCTTGCACCAATGACGTCCATATGTTGCTTCCTCTTCCCACATCATTTACGTGGTTAATGCCACATAATGCGTGCATAACCATGTGGTGCACACATAATTTTTGGGCCATTTTATTTAGTTTTAAGCATTTTATTTTAAAATTTTTATAAATAAAAGGATAAAGGATAAAGCATTTGCCGTTGATCAATCCCTTTTTGGGATGCGGCACGCATTCTACTTCCATTTGTACATTCGCAGTGGCGTTTGAATGCGATGTGGCCTATACAATGACTTGCGGGGGCCAGCCGATGTACAAGTCAGTGTTTTTATCCTCCCAGACAAGTCTGGTACCAATTAACCCGACCCCGGAGGGATGGAAGGCTTGGTTGGCCCGGGCGACTCACGACCCAGGATTTGATCCCGGACCGCTCGCGTGGTAAGCGCGCCACTTGTCACACTACCACACTTTCCGCCCGTATAACATTTTTAGAATAAGAAAATAATTAGTCATGTTATTTTTGGTCAGTCATTGTAGCTTACTTTAATTACTCATAGGGAATATGAAGGAAATGCGAGTGAATACTCCGAGAACAGCGGTCTGATTTGTTGTATATTTCAGGAAGGAAAGGAGTTATGAAAGGAATAAGAAGAGGCGACGAAATCGATCGAATTGAGAGAGAAATCACGAAAAAGCATCCGGATATTCAACATGTGGATTTAGAAGCTTTGTAGTGATGTCGCCGAACTTCTTTTATTTTCTCGAAGCTATTGCTGGCACAGTCACTATTGATTTGTGCAGGATTTATGAGATATTATTGATTTTTATAGGTGAAATTGTGGAGAACTCGATTTAATTCTTTAGTTTGATATAATTATTAGTGTACAGAATTCCCTTTCTCTCTACTGCTAGGCTTTTTCCACGCACCGAGTCGTCGACACATGGCTGTAGGAAATAGGTATCGATTACCCGCGTGTAAGGTAATGCCTGTTTTAAATGCGATGTTAGGGCGATTTCAAGAGAGCATTTCATAGTGTAGAAGTATTTTATGAATAATTGAACAATATATATTTTTTGTGATACCTACGTTCGAAGAAGCCGATTTTGTGGCCGTAGTTGCGGACTAGGGGCGATGTTTTATTACACTCCTGTATTGTAGTACAATTATTTATTTCAATAGAGATTTGAGCGCAATACTTAGCTTAGCTTTCCTATATAACCATATTTCCATCTATTATCGATTATCTTGACCGTGTTGTTGTCTATCCCGGTTCAGGTAAATGCACAATGTTTCAACCTTTATGATTAGATGCAGTTTTCTCACTCGCGTACAAATTATTATGTAGAAATTGAGTTACTTCTACTCTATCTAACTTGCAGTTGTATTATACTTACAAGGACCTGTGTTCATTAAAGATTTATCGATTAAAAGATTTGAGACGAAACGCTGATAGATTTTTAATTGACTGGATTACTCTAAATCCATGGAGATTCTGCTCTTACGGGAATTTTTTCGGGCGCTCATCCAGTAAGGGGGGCATCAAGTGGCTGCCCTCACCCCCCTAGACTGCCTACACTCCCCCTGGCGCACAGGTTTCTCGAAGTACGGGACCCCGTGAGCCAGGGGGAGTGAAGCCAGTTCAGGGGGGTGGGGGTGAGGGCAGCCTACTTGACGTTGCATCACAATGCCCCCCTTACCGGATGAGCGCCTTTTTTCGAGTTTTTCCGCTACGGTAGAAAAAATCAAGTTCAGAATGGTATCCGATGCCGGTCAAAACTTACGATATGTAGTCGGTGGAAAAATGGGGCCCATTTTTGAAGGAAAGTAGATGAGGATTTCTGGATAGCCATTTCCAATATCTAGCTTAAAGGACGAATTCACGCTGGAAAGGCAACCCATTTCAAATTAACCTAGGATGGTGAGTGGTACACGAAAGAAGGAAAAACCATGAGAAACGGCCCAGAACCCGAGAAATGGGACCCCTTCCTTGCCCGTTGATTTGAGCATTGATGCGACTCTCATCGCTGTGCCCTCTTCAACACTACGCTCTCTCACCTATCTAATCACTCGCCACGTATAGACCTGCGGCGAGTGATCAGATGATCGGTGGGCGTGCACTGCCCACCGCGCCAAGATTGAGCCTTAATAGGTCGCCGAGGTCAACTCCTTCGGTGCCAATTGCGCTTCAGTTCGCACCCTTAGGAGGTCCGCGGGTCCCTCAACTAGGTGAATTACTCCTTCTTCGACCTTCATTCTAATCGTGAATTCCTCCTTTAAGGTTCTCATAGTGGATTATCTTCTCGACTTTCACCTAATCGCAATTTCCTTTCCGGCTAGGTTAGATGGTACATTTTAGCACATTGCGGGCCGCTTGTGCTACCATGTAGCGCATATTTTCTACGAAAGATCATGGTTTCATTCGATTTATTCTTCTCAAGTGCTCCTCAACTGTTTGCGCTAAAAGGTGAGAAGTGTTGTGCGTTTCAAAAGAACATCCCCGTTTTTGAAAGCCGTCTCACATCTAATGGGTGACTTTCCCACAGCTTATGCACATCATCGTGATGTCACACCGGGACATCGATTACGCCAATTAGTAGCAAAAAGTGTTAAGCTGATGGGTCCGAGAGATGACGGACATTTTATCTAGGGTAAGGAGTAAATCGTTTGCATGAAAAACGCGCCTGATTTCTTTTAACGTTACAAAACTCTTCTTCTTTTTAGAATTTCTGTTTTCTAGAGGAAAATATGCGATGATTGACGACGATTTATGGCATTTGCTTTCTTTGGTCACGACACTTCCGAGCTATCTACGATCCTCAATTGCCACTATGAAGAGCACGCATTCGTTGCAATGAGTATCCGTGGGACCTTTGTGGAGTATGTTGAGCTTTGACAGCCTTGATTAGCGTAAGCCAAATTTCAAGATATGTGCTTTATTTTCTGTGGTGGGGAGCTATTATCTGTAAGCATTGAATCGTATCTGACCTCAGCAGATTGGAATAATTTAGGGTGTAAGAAGCGTAAAGTATTTTGGCATTTAAACTGGGTCAGGTATAGATCGAAAGCCCAGGTAAAAGCTGCAGTGGTAGCGGACATTTCAGAACCAGGCTCAACTGCATTACTATGCATTACATCTTGTGGTGCTTAAGAGTTAGCGCCGAGGGTAAAGGCAGTGGACACGATGACTGAAGGGCGGTACGGTTTTGATGACGCCGTTGGTGAAAAGGCGCTAGGAAGCGTACCAACGACATACCCACCGCGCTTCAGGGGTCCAACCCACTTTTGACGCTTGACGTCATCAAAAACGCAACACCCTCCAGCCATCGTGTTCGTTGCCTTTATAGATATGATATCACAAAAAGAACAACCAAGCCTTTCTTTATACCGGTCTAGACGACGTGGGGCAAACCTGTCCGGTGATGGAAAAATGAAAACCCTAATTATAAAGAGTGACACTTGAAAGTTATTTTGAACATCGACGGGGTGTGCGCACAAATGCTATGCGATTCCTTATGTAAGGAGAACACGGGACGCATCGCTGAATGACCTGCCGCCCACAGTTTTCCTTTATTCCCTTTATTCGGTTCATTTTATTTACAAGTTGAACACTCACCTTAAGCCGTTTCAGCGTTTGGATGCTCGTCATCTGCTGGCTGTTCGGCAAATCGCGTCTGCTTGTAGAACTGATGCATCCGCCAGTGTCGTATTACGTAGTGGACGCAAGACTTCACAGTGATGAGGAAAATGAACATTGCGAGTACGATCGCCGTTCCGATACCCACCCATGGGTCGTAACTTGCGTAGAAGTCCTGCTCGGAACGTGGTGGGTTCACCTAGACAGTTTTCAATAAGGTATTGATAGAACTTTTACGGAAGTCAACTTTGCCCAAAGGCAATTAACAAATCAAATTGCTTGTGTCCTCGTCATATTATGTATGATCTAGAATCTTATAACGGAGGAGAGGGTGAAAGATAAAGAAATTTTTGTTTCCGAGTCTCTGTTGATTCAACTATTTGCACAACCCTTCAAGGGAAACGAGTGCATGGCGCGTACGCGATGAGGAGCTGGTTGTTGGATAGTTTTCAGTTTTGCCTCTTGTTGATCGGGGCTTTGAAAGGACAAAATCCCGGAATCAAATGTAGTTTCTT